CCTAAGGTGTGAGAGCCGTGCTGAAAGGATGAAAGGCTGACTTTGTGCCAGTCCTGAACGGCCTGAGGGAGCCATGGGCACGGTATTCCCCTGATTTAGTTATCTAGCCCTTACCCCTCAAGGGGACCCTGAGGGGTGGACTGCTTTTATCCCCAACATAATCCAGGCTTCCCATGGCCAGTAATGAAAATATATCCCCACTGTTAGGGGCAATGAGGCTTGCCCCTTTATCAAATAGCCCCAACGAAGTAAACCCACCCGATTCCCCGACCCCAGGCTCTCCTTTGACCACGGCTCCAAACACTGCAATAACTACCCCTTCACCAATGCCTACTAGTACAGTAGCCAACAATCAACCCTCAAGGGACATTTCCACTCTCCGAGCATGCCCAACTTCAACACCTCTACCCCCACAACCTCCAACATCAACCACCCCATCCTCCCTTATTAATACCTTACAGCCTTATAGCCCACCTCTCCATAACACTACCTCCATCAACACTACTCCATCTTCGTCACGCCCTCGCCCTTCTACCACCCCTATCTCTAAAATAATCTTGAATACTCTCTTCAGTGCAGCCAAATGGGACCGATTTTTCGTGATCCCTCCCACAGCTCCCTACTCTAACAACACCCTTCTCTTCCAACAATGCCTCCAAAAACAAGTAGGTAAAGTCTCTTTCCGTAGCCGACCCGACCGCTCCCGTCTTGTAACAGTAACATCCGAAAACCAAGCCATAGCATTAACAAAACTAACTGACCTATATGGTAACCCCATCCTAGCAGAACCCCATCCAACCCTCAATACTTGCACCGGAACAGTCTCAATCTCACCAACAAATTGCCCAATCTATGACAAAGAATGGTCAGATTGTGGAGAAGATCTACTTGCCTGTCTCACAGACTACGATGCAACATCAGTACAATGCTATTCCATCCCCCCCAGAGGTCATCGAAAGAAACCCACTAACATAGCCAAAATTACCTTCCGTAGACATGACCTTCCCTTTAACGTCTACATAGGAGGAAAATCCCTCCCTGTTCGTCCATACCAACCTCCTCCACGTCAGTGCCAAAATTGTTGGCGTCTAGGACACCCAGCCAAACACTGCCGTTCCACAGCCAGATGCCCATTATGTGCCCAACCTGGCCATACCCGATCTAACTGCTCTGCACAATCACGCACATGTGCCAACTGTGGCGGCCCCCATAATGTATTTTATAGGGGCTGTCCCACCTACAAATTTGAATCTGAGGTAGCAACTCTCAGATTCAAACTTGGACTCACACTGCGTGAAGCCAGACAGGAAGCACGTCGACGTGGATTCTCTCTTACTCCTTACTCCAGTAATACTGCTCATCCTAACACTTCTCCTAAACCCACCCCTCCTACATCTAACCCCCCCACTAACCCCACCTACCTTCCCCAGTCAAACTCTTTTGCCATCCTAAATCCAGAAACTCCAATCTCTACTACAGATACTCCAATCACCACTACAACCCCAACACCTTCCCCTCTCCCTCCTCGCACTCCCCGTAACAGACAGAACAAACGTTCCACCCCCTCTTCCCCTACCACACAATCACCCCCACCATCCTTTGCCCGTACTCTTGAGACACCAGTCCTCTCTTCCCCCCCTCACAAGAAATCCTTTATCCCCCAAAACTCCCCAACCAACTCCACAGAAGAAACTATTGAAAATATTCAAGATTACTTAATGAAAACCGACACTCAACCTACAACTCCTGCTCCTTCCACACTCCAAGTAATTGCTGATATCCATCTTCCTCCTAACGATATCCCCCCTACACCCTACCCTCCTACCCCCTCCCAACACAGCCCATCCCCCCTGACCCCAACCCTGCCCACATTAACTCTCCCACCATCCCCTCTATCCCTTCCACTCCCTCCTGGATACACACGTGAATCCCTTATGTCACAAGTATCCCCTTCCTCAGACCCTCCATCTCCTAATACCCCTCCTGATAGAACACCAACTCCCACACCTCTCCCATCTCAAACCTCTCAGTCCTTATCCCACCCTCTAGCTGCTTCCCCTTCAAATTCTCCAACACGTACTACAATCTATATCACTAAATCAACGAAAGTAGAACTATCCTTCATTGGAATATTCGCGGTTTCCGCTCCCACAGACCTGACCATCATATCCTTTCCTCTTATAACCCATCTATTGTATGCCTTCAAGAAACCTTTCTTATGCATACCCTTTATCTAATATAACACCCGACCTTAACCCTTTCACTCACTAATTCCTTTGCCCAGCTTAGACAACTAATCACTAACTCAACCACCCTTCACTAACATTAACTATAGTGCTACATGACCTTAGATGTCTAGCACATTTATCTTGCTTTTAACCATTAACCATCAGTATTAGTAGCCATGAATGGTTATTAGTTATGAAGCAAAATAAATGTGCTAGACATCAAAGGTCATATAGCACTACAGAAAGGTGTAGTAGTGAAAAGATTAAAGAGGGGGGTTAGTTGATTAACACGTCAAAAGTCGTGTAGCAGTTCAAGATAATATGCATCAAGTGGGGCTAAGAGGGATGAGGGAGAGATGGTGAGTAAATGTGCTGACGGAGGAATTAACAAAGGTGATTGGATCAAAGTTGTCAAAGAAAAAAGAATGGGTAAGGTAAGGAGAAATGTCAGGAGGGAGAGAATCCAAGGAAGAAGGTTGTTGTGACAAAGAGTTACATGTTTATTCAGAGGGAAGCGGAAGGGATAATGGGGAAGGAAGGGGGGGGGGGGTGGTGCAGATGAAGAAAGGGGGAATGGGATGTGTTGGGACGAAAGGATGTAACGGGAACATGGATAGGAGGAGGATGAATGTTGGCAGTTACTTCGAGCGTAGAGGGAACAGAGGCAGAGAGACTGGAGGTTGGATGATGGATAACATGTATGCATGTTATCTTGTGTCATGATTAGATAGTTTTGAATGTCTTCAAGAGTTTCTGAAGTGGAGGTCTGAGAAACAAAAGTCTTCTTAAAGGGGGGGGGAGAAGAGGAGATATGCGCCTGAGAGGTAGTGGAATAGATAGGTGGAGGAGAGGGTGTGGTAGAAGATGGGGTGGAAATTGTAAAGTGAGATGGGAGAGAGGTAGGTGTCAGGGCAGTGGTTGAGATTGGGGTGTCTAGATCTAGAACCACAAAAAAATACGATTGGAAGAGGAAGGGGGAAGAAGTAGAACTGTAAGATGGAAATGGAACATATACTTGGGGGGATGCAGAAACAGTTTGGGAGGAAGGAGGAGGGGTGGAGTGAAGGGTAGCACTGGAATACGTGAAAAATATTGAGCTTCCTGTCTGGCCATACATAAAGTTAAGCCCCTATAAACTACATTATGGGAGCCACCACAATTGGCACATGTGCATGACTGTGTTGAGCAGTTTGATCATGAACAGGTTGGACACATAAAGGATATTGGTTGAGGAGCAGGAGTGTTTGGCAGGGTGGCCTAGATGCCAACAATTCTGATGGGGGGGGGGGTGATATGGCTGGACAGGGAGGGATTTTCCACCAATATACATATCGTGTTGAAGTCATGTCTAGGGAAAGTAATCTTGGCAATATTGGCAGATGACTTATAATGGCCTCCATGGGGAATAGCATAGTAATGTACTGATACTGCATCATAGTCCACAAGGCAGCCAAGTAAGTTTTCTCCACAATCTGAGCAATCCTTTTCATAGACAGGGCAGTTTGTCAGGGAGATGGAGACAGCTTCTGGTTCAAGTACTGAGGGGGGTATGAGGCTGAACTGGAAGTGTGGAGTGATAATGCTTTAGCTTGAATTTGAAGTAACTGTGACAAGGTGGAAACAATCAAGGTGGCTGGGGAGGGAAAATGCTTACTTATTTTTGGAGGCATTGCTGGAAGAGGAGAGTGTTGTCAGAGTAAGGGGGTGTATGAGATCATAAAAAAACTGATCCCATTTGGCTGGGGTTAACAGAGTACTCAAAAGATTTGTAGAGGTGGGGGTAGTTTAAGTACAGAGCCTTGTGCAAGAGTGAGGGGTGTTGTGTGAAGTAGTACTGTGGATAGTAGGCATTGAGGAGGGGTAGTAGTAATATCCGTGGTCAAAGGAGAATCTAGGGTCAGGGAACCAGGGAAATTAAAATCAGTGGGGTCAGTTGATAAAAGAGCAAGCCTCACCGCCCCTAATAAAGGTATAAATCCTTATTACTGGCCAAGGTAAGCTTAGAATATGTTGGTCCAAACTTTAGGGTCCCCTTGAGAGGTAAGGGCTAGACAACTAAATAGAAATATCATCCCATGGCTCCCTTGGCCATTCATGACAGGCACAGAGTCAACCTTTATTATATTCTACACAGCTCTCATGTCTTAGGAAGCTGGATAGTAGAAGGGGTTGGAGAAGAGAAGGAAAAAATGGGAAGAATGTTTAATGATTAAAAACAAAGTAAATGTGCCAGACATCTAAGGTCACATGACATTATAGGAAGGTATAGAACAGAAAGAACATTACATTACATGTGGATATAGCAACAGAGCGTGCTAGAGTATCTGCCTGTTCATTGCTAGGGATTCCAACATAGCTGGGCACCCAGCAAACTGATAGATTTGTAGTGCGTAGACAGGTAGAACTGGTTCTGAATCCTACAGACAAGAAGGGAAGAAGAGAAGATTGTGCAAAATTAATCTAATTTAAGGCTGAGGCCCAAGGTAGGGGTGACCAGATACTGGGCCACAGTCTGCGTCACCTAAGCCTCCCCATGAAAACAATGGGCATGGGATTGGGGGTGTCAATACAAAATGAATCAAGGTATTAATTGTAATTGCAACTATATCATACATCACATCAACAATATGCCAGAACTTATTAATGAAACTGTATACCAAAGTAGTATCTGATTTTCTAGATTTTTTTTTTTTTTTTCATAATTTGTCACAGTAAGACATGCTTTCAAATTTGTTTGTTTTTTAGCTACCTAAGGATAAGAAATAAATAACACAGAAATTATATCTTTATTGTATTATCTCTATAATGAAAATCAAGTACACACAAATCTGATAGAAACTCTTATATATATATATATACAAACTAACCTTATAAAAACTTGCATTGTTTAGAAGAGCACTTTATATTTAGTGCACTTGAGTTCATGTCAAGCTGAGCACCAAAGACATGTAATATAATCTTAAAACAACCTCTTCCAGGACATTAAATAGATTATAAGAATACAATAAACATATGAGTATGTCATCAGTACACAAAATTTGTTACTTACCACTGACCCACTAGTGTCAGGTATATAACATGCACGGTAGTTTGTTTGTCAATTTTGTTTATACATAGATTATTTCAGAAGTACTTTGTTACCAAAAATGGTTTTATTTCTGTTACAATTATTATCATTATTAATGCTTTTATCATTATCATACTTCTTTTCCACAGAATATATCAGTTAGTCGCCAATTTTTTTTTTACCCTGAACTTTTACCTAGATAATATTAAAGTTCTCATACCAATAATCATCAGCTCTCTGAATTCCTATCATGTCAACTTGTATTCATTTCTTCTAAAGTTTGGCAAATGTAGCTTTCTTCTGTTTGTTCATCATTGCCATCGCAGCTAAGCGAAGGTCTTCACTCTGTAGCATCACCATGTTTAGCATAGCCTGTCAATATATAAACATGATTAGGCATTTGCAGCATAAAAAAAATTCTGAAAAATGTTCAACATAAATAAAATGAGAGAAAAAAAAAATTCTACATCATCCAACCACTATGAAAGAGAGAAAATTTGTACTTTCACTAACATTATTTTTTTTATTATCATTTTCATTACTAAGGAAAGATTAACATTTGTTACCAAAATAATCAAGAAACATGATTGCATTGCCCAAATAGTTTCAAGGAGACCAAACTATAACTTTCATGAAACACTCCAAAGATTGTTTCTTATCTGCCTTTCCTTAGAAAAGATTCTTAATGCTATTTTACTAATAATCATCACCAAAAAACAGCTACAACAGCAAACATACCACATAGTCCAAACCCTCCTGAACGGTGTGGTCACGAGCGTGGATCAATGTTGTTTTCGTGTTCTGGACAGCGACTGGAGACAAGCTGGCAATTGTTGTTGCCATATCAAGTGCCCCATTTAGTACACTGAAATAGGCAGAATGGTTAATTTTTTGTTGAAGGGTGATTTATATTTAGATACTGCTTGAATTTAAATTACTTCAACAAGTCAATACATCTCAGTACCAAGGATTTGTATGCTTGCTTATCATATCAAAACCAAAAGAATTTAATTTAAAAAATATTATAAAAACACTGCATGCTTATACACTATACATTTACATAAGATATCATCAACAACAGTAAACTACAATGTTGATACATATTCACTGGTAACTCCTTCAAATACATATTTTTTCATATAAGAAATCTGTATAACCTCCAAACACTCTTAATTAAAAAAGAAAAGAAAAGAAAGAAGAAAAAATATAAGAATAATAATGAACATTAGCATGAATAACCTATATATTACAAACATTTTTTTTCATTTTTTGTCTTACATCTTTGGCTCTAAGATACTGAAAAGAATTTTCCCTACCTCTGCTTATCAGAGAAGATCCTAGAAACAAAACCGCTCTGCAATGCCTCTTCTGAGAACATCTTCCTTGCAGAGAATGCCAATTCCCGGACAAGACTTTGGTTGCCAATGATCTTGGGAAGGCGCTGCAGTGTTCCAACATCTGCTGCCAGGCCTGAGGATGATACACTGAATGAGACAATGCCAACAACATCCAAAGATTATTGCATATTCAATTTCTGTTTCTTTTTTCTATACTGCATATTCCATTTATTTTTTCTAGACTGCATATTCAATTTTTGTTTTTTCTAGACTCTGGAGTATCTCTACATCCCTACTGTATGGGTTTTCATTTGCATACATGCTCAAAATATACAATCATCTTTTCCAGTGGAATTCAATCAACATTCTCTGGAAATACCATATTGATTTTCCTCTCGAGTAAACTAACAGTCTTATGAAAAATGGGAAAAAAGTAATAATTGTGAAATGACAATAACAATTACAAGTATGATTGTGGAAATCATTACCATTAGAAAAAATGAAAAATAAAATAAATTAATGAAAAATATATAAAATAGATAAATGAAAAAAGCAGAACCATAATAGACTCATGTAATTCTAAATTTGTTAATAAATCATATGTAATTTCATTGACATTACATCACTAACTCATATCAACTTTTTCTTAATCAAAGTTTCTATAAACATCTATAACCATGAAACATGAAACTTTTAAAACAAAATGTAAAACAAAACAGCAGAAGTTTAAACCTTAAATCAACATCACTGAAATACTTACCGAGTTCAACCTCCTTAATTTGGAACCACGAGTCAGATGTACAGTAGCGAATGTCGGCTGAGCAGATGAGGTCCACACCACCACCAACACAAGCATTATGTACTGCAGCAATTACTGGTTTCGGACACTGTGAAGTCAGTCAGTAATACATAAACTTGGGAAAAAGTTTGTAAATATAATCATATCTATTAGCAAATAGTATGACACTGATATGACCCATGATATGAATACTTATAGATATGGGACCCCAAACTCATCCCAATTTCAAGCATCCAATTACACAGAAGAGAAATTCTAATGCATGTAAATATTTCACGTACATATTCAATAACAAACATTATAATTTCAACTTTTCTATTTAATGCAAATTGAAAAGTTGTATGCGTAAGAATTATAAAAAGAATATGATTACCGTTTCTAGTGAAGAAAATGCATCTTGGAATTCTTTGATGAGGTGATGCAGAGAACGACACTTCCGAGCAACATCATCATCCCCCATCACTAATGATACTATCCCTGTCATGTCACTTAGGTCAAGGCCTGAGGTGAAGAGCCGTCCACTTCCACTCAGAACAATAGCTCTACAGTCTGCGTCTTCCCCGAGCTTGTTGAAACACTGTCCAATATCTCTGTAATTTAGAGTGAAATTGTATAGTTTCTATTAGCCTCATTTTCAAATTCAGTTCAGTACAATTACAACACACTGCCATTTTCTATTTATCTATCTATATCTACATCTATTGACGTATATATTTATATAAAAGATGTAAAATTTAGGGCATTCTTAATAATCTTCACCGAAAGTTTTTTGATAATTTTAACCCCCTGCTTTCAAGAAGGGAAAGTACATGCCCACTGTGAATTTAGTTTATTAATTGTCTTTAAACACAGATGGCTTCACAAGCACTTAGTCACCAATGAGCTAGTTACCTATATCACCTATTTACCATTTTCCATGGTATTCAGATTTCTATTTATACTGCTATTAGTAAAGTCAATAACATTATAATAATTATAATGACTATAGTAAAATAACTGCACTGATTTTGATAGCATTAGTTGAAAAAAGAATAATAACTAAAATAATAATAAAATAATAATAATAATAATAATAATAATAATAATGATAATAATAATAATAATAAGAAAAGACCATGCAAAATTAGTTGAGCTAAGGGCTGAGGTCCTAGGTTGGGGTGATCTCCTACATTGGGTTTCAGTCTCCAACTCCTAAGCCACCCCAGGACAACAACAAGGACAAGGGGTTGGGGGAATATATATATATTTAGTGAAAATAGTATCTTCATGTGTCAAAATAAAATTTGCAAAGAATAGAAAGAAGAAGGAAGGAAGGAATGGGAAAAAAAAAAAAAAAACTTTTAGTAATACATACTTCCACATTGTGCCATTCATGGCATTTAATTTATCTGGGCGGTTGAGTTCAACTAGGAAGACATTTTCTCGAGGTGAAGAAACCGCAAGGGTCTCAAACGTGTAACCCTCTGCTGCTGCTGCCATTGTCCGGATGCTTGTCAGTGCTGGACGAATCCGTGTTAAGCCTTGAATGATCAAAGTACTTATTAGTGCTTTTGTATGAGTACAATACACAAGATTACTAATTCATCAATATAACCAAAAGTCCGATTTCTTGCTAATCTGAGTTTCTTTCATTGCAATACATTTCAAAACATATAACATCATTTTACTACATTTTCAGGAAACCCGTGCAAGATTTTTTTCTTTTCTTTCCTCACATTCACCATATCATATGATCTCCATCTCCTACATTACTGAAATATTACTGTTACTCTAGGAAATTACTAGGAAAACGTTTCGTATGTGTGTGTATGTGTGTGTATGTGTGTGTATGTGTGTGTATGTGTGTGTATGTGTGTGTATGTGTGTGTATGTGTGTGTATGTGTGTGTATGTGTGTGTATGTGTGTGTATGTGTGTGTATGTGTGTGTATGTGTGTGTATGTGTGTGTATGTGTGTGTATGTGTGTGTATGTGTGTGTATGTGTGTGTATGTGTGTGTATGTGTGTGTATGTGTGTGTATGTGTGTGTATGTGTGTGTATGTGTGTGTATGTGTGTGTATGTGTGTGTATGTGTGTGTATGTGTGTGTATGTGTGTGTATGTGTGTGTATGTGTGTGTATGTGTGTGTATGTGTGTGTATGTGTGTGTATGTGTGTGTATGTGTGTGTATGTGTGTGTATGTGTGTGTATGTGTGTGTATGTGTGTGTATGTGTGTGTATGTGTGTGTATGTGTGTGTATGTGTGTGTATGTGTGTGTATGTGTGTGTATGTGTGTGTATGTGTGTGTATGTGTGTGTATGTGTGTGTATGTGTGTGTATGTGTGTGTATGTGTGTGTATGTGTGTGTATGTGTGTGTATGTGTGTGTATGTGTGTGTATGTGTGTGTATGTGTGTGTATGTGTGTGTATGTGTGTGTATGTGTGTGTATGTGTGTGTATGTGTGTGTATGTGTGTGTATGTGTGTGTATGTGTGTGTATGTGTGTGTATGTGTGTGTATGTGTGTGTATGTGTGTGTATGTGTGTGTATGTGTGTGTATGTGTGTGTATGTGTGTGTATGTGTGTGTATGTGTGTGTATGTGTGTGTATGTGTGTGTATGTGTGTGTATGTGTGTGTATGTGTGTGTATGTGTGTGTATGTGTGTGTATGTGTGTGTATGTGTGTGTATGTGTGTGTATGTGTGTGTATGTGTGTGTATGTGTGTGTATGTGTGTGTATGTGTGTGTATGTGTGTGTATGTGTGTGTATGTGTGTGTATGTGTGTGTATGTGTGTGTATGTGTGTGTATGTGTGTGTATGTGTGTGTATGTG